GCCCATCCTCAAGCATAATCTGTATATTGAACTTGCTGTCGTTCTATAGCTTGTTCTACCTCACACAAGGCCATCCGACCTTCTTCAGTTAATTTTCTAACAGATGTAGGATCAGAATCTCCCTGGAGGATATCGAATAAAGGTTTCAATTCTCCGGTGGAGATTTTTAAATATGGTCTAAGCCAATTAATATCTCCTAACTTTCTGAAAATCATTCAAAGTGTGTAAATTGTCTTTCCTAATTTGAACCTTCTGAGATAATATAGATTTGGGATATAACTTATGTCCTAAATAGGAATATGGCGGTTCAGTCTGAACCTTTTCCGGTGCAATCACTAATCCTTGATCCCTCAAAGCTTGTTGTAAATGAGCATAAGCTGTCAATAAGAGCCCTTCTTGTCTATGAGCTAAAAGTATATCATCCATATAATGAACTGTATAGATTTGAGGATATATTTGCCTAATTTTATTTATTGCCTGAGCTACAAATTTCTGACACAAAGTAGGACTATTAGCCATACCCTGAGGTAATACTTTCCAACGATATCTCTTCATAGGCTCCTTAAAATTTTGTCGAGGGTACGCTAAAAGCAAATCACTTACAATCTTCAGGGGCAAGTGGAATAGTATAAAAACAATCCTTTAAATCTACAATGATTTTATAAGTATTTCTAGGCAAGGCAAATGGCATAGGCAATCCTGGTTGCAAAGCTCCCATTACTTCCATAGTCTGATTGACTTTTCTAAGGTCTTGTAATAATCTCCATTTCCCTGATTTTTTCTTAATGACAAAGATAGGAGAGTTCCAAGGAGAATTAGAAGGAGCTACATGTCCGCTATCAAGCTGTTCCTGTACTAACTGCTCAGCAGCTTTAATTTTTTCCTCGGTGAGAGGCCACTGATCCACCCACACAGGTTCGTCACTTTTCCAAGTAATGGGATCCTCGTGGAGTACAGGCTGATCAGTGGCCTCCTTTAAAAACACCCTAAGTCTGTTTTTGGAGATCGTTGGATCGGCATTAAAGGTTCCTGTATCCCCTGACCTTTAGTTCCCAAGCCCTGATTAGGTAAAAGCCCTTGATCAAACATTTGGTGGGTGACCTGTTCACTAGGACTATATAAATACACCCCCATTTCTTTCATAACATCTCTGCCCCATAAATTAACCAACAGCCCCGGCACGATGTATGGCTGGAATCTACCCTGATGACCCTCAGCATCTTTCCAAAATAACATATTACTACTCTGTTCAGTGCTATGGCTCTGACCTATTCCTTGCAATTGTGTCATTGTTGATTGCTTAGGCCATGCCTTAGGCCATTGGTCTGCAGTTAGAACTGAGACGTCAGCCCCAGTGTCCAGTAGACCCTGGAAATTTTTCCCATTGATGGTCAGGGTGAGTACAGGTCATTGGGCTCCTATTGACTGTATCCAATAAATATCTGAAGAGTCGAATCCAGCATCTCCTCTTTTTTCTCTTTTTGCTACATTATTTGTTAGCATTTGAGGGAGCAACAGCAGCTGCGCTATACATTGTCTCGCTTGTATCACAGAAATCCCAGTAGGTGAATGAGTCATAATCTTAATTTCTCCAGTGAAACCCCCATCTATGACCCCGGGAGCAACCAGAATACCATTCACAGTAGCGCTACTTCGACCTAAAAGTAAGCCTATCATCTCTGATGGTAGAGGCCCATAAACTCCAGTAGGTAGGGCCTGCATCCCCATTTCTGTGGTTAATACTGTGAAGGCAGAGGGACTGAGGTCCAGTCCAGTCCTGTGCTGCCTGCGGTTGCTCTGAAGAGGTCCTGAATGGATTTCCTTGCTGGGGAACGAATGTTTGAAGTGCCCCATAACATTGTCGCGGGGCCTGGGGCGGGCCCCTCCTCCCGTTTCCCTGCGGGAGAATATTTCCCATGGCATCCTTTTTAGATTTACACTCATTAGCCCAATGATTGCCTCTTTTGCACCTGGGACACAATCCAGGCCCATTTTCTTTCCCTGCATTGTTTGAATTGGCTAGAGGAGTCTTATTAGGACATTGCCGCACCTGATGGCCTATTTGACCATATCCAAATCAACTCCCTGGTGGACCCGGAACCCTGCCTTTGGGATTTCTCTTTTGTTGTTGGAACAACACTTCCTTAACTGTTCTTCCCTGCAAAGCTGCTGCCATAGCAAGGCCCTGAGTATAAGCAAATGTCAGCACACATTCTGATATAATCTGAAATGGTGCCTTTCTTTCTAAATGGTCTTAGGGCTGCCTGGCAGGCGGTATTGGCATTTTCATAAGCCAGTTGTTTGACCAGTAACAATCCCGCATTGGAATCTCCCAGCAATCTACTGGCAGTCTGCATTAACCTGGCTACAAAGTCTTGAAAAGGCTCATCAGGTCCCTGCCTAATTTTGGATAAATCTTCTGTCTGCCTACCTGTAGAAGGCAGCTTCTGCCATGCCCGCTTGGCAGCGGTATTGACCTGTGCATATACTCCTGCGGGAAACAATAATTGATTGGCGAGGTCCGCATATCGCCCTTCTCCTGCCAGCATGTTATAATCAATATCATTTCTATTAGCCTGATTTAATTCAGCTGTTCTTTGACACAGCTCCGAAAATTCTGTTTTCCAAAGGAGGTACTCTGCCCCAGACAGGCATGCCTTAGCAAGCTGTTTTCAATCTCTGGGAGGCAGCGCCTCCATGCTCAATGATTCTAACATAGCCTGAGTAAAAGGTGCGGTAGGGCCATATTGCGCACATGCCATTTTTAACTCTTTGAGTTGCTTAAAAGGAATCGGTCGATGGATTCTGACCATATTCCCTTGAGCATCAGCTTCCTCAAATACTGGACAAGCTAAATGAAAGCCCTGGGTATCTTCCCCTCTGTCAACCGCATGTTGCAGGGTAGCTTGTAATAGCGACAGAGACCGAGAGTTGACAGACAAAGGCCTGGGTCCTGGGGGATGTTTGATCATGGCTATAAGAGGGTCAGTTTTTTTCATTAATCTTGGACCTGCAACCAGCGGGGGATCAAGACCAGCAATTATACTAGGAACTATTCCTCCCTCGCCCTGAGTCTTCTGGTCTTCCTCTTCCACCGTTAAGCCTGTCTGCCACAGCTGACAAAGAGACTCCAATCTCTTTTCCAATCTAGCAATCCTTTCGGTCATGTCCTCATTCGCTGGCTGTCAGGATTTTTCTGTTTTCCTGGCCACGGCTACGATAGGGAGAGGGGGAGCAGTCCTCACTGTTATACCTAGCAGCCTCTTCTTCCAAATCATCAGCATCTCCCGGGCTTAGGGGTCCCTCATCTGGAAAAAACCCTTCCTTAGTGCAGGCTCTGCATCAGCATATACTGGCAGAGCAGATGGCTTAGTTTCATTTTCTGTAGGAGGCGGAGGGACAACCTCGGGAACATCAGCCTTGTCGGGCTCCTCTGAGGAAGGACTTGAGGAGGGTCCTTCAACCCTCTCTCTCTCTCATGCCGAGGATCCAAACTATCTCTAATTAAAGCCCATAAACTAAAAGTATCTATAGGGACTTTAGTGGGTCCATGATTATCGTAATATTCCTGAAGTCGCTTCCCCACCTTATTCCATACTTCTAAATCTACTGTGCCTTCTTCAGGGAACCAAGGACAAACTTTCTCTACAAATTCTAAAAAATTACATAATTGTTGATGCCCTACCTTTGCTCCACGAGACCGAAGCATATTTTTAAGCATATGTTCAAAAAGCATTCAGCTGTTACCAATACCCATCTTGCTACTCTCGAGTGCATTCACCGCCCTTAATTTACTTATCCGAGCTCACGACCCGCGGTGTCCCTCACTATGGTCCCCCGTATTCAGGTCCCTGTTCGGGCGCCACCCGTGACGGAGCCCGCCGTCACTTGTCGAACAGTACCTGAATGGGAGAGTGAGGATGAAGAAAAATAAAGACAAAGAGATAGAGTCAGGAGGGCTCCCAGAGACCGAGTGCCCAAGTTTTTCTCCTCTCTTTTCTACAACAGGTGAGTTTGCTTGTTAATCATGACCCTCATCCAGAGACACCTGCTTCCTTGTTTTCTAGTTCTTTGGAAATTCCCCGCCCTCATGGGCTTCCTTGTTTCTCGGGGTTACAGAACATTCATCACGTTCCAGGGCAATCTAATTCGGCAAGGATGCGGTTCCTCATAACATAGTCTCCTTGCTCTATACAATGGAGGGTAAGATTCAAAATGGAGCCTCTTTGTCTAACACCGCTCTCCACAATTAAGATGAAAAAATACTGCCAATCTGCACATATGATGCTTTCTTCTTACATGAACTGTGAGGTCATTTGGATTTCTGAAACTTTAAACTAAAAAATGTATCTTAGAATCAATACGAGAGAATTAACTGTTTTACAGTATTTTTATTTTGGTCTTTCTGATTTGTGACAGGAAATCTATCTTTATCCTATTACAAACTAGCTTTTATTTTTTCTGTTTATATTTTGGTCTAGAAACTCCTTGAAGTTTCTGAATCCACCATCAACATTCTTTTAAGAATCAACTTTTTTGAAGTTGAACCCAACCAAAATAGCATATACTCAAATATATGTTTTTGATGAGTTTTGACAAAAGCACACACCCATTTGACCTCCACCATGATCAAGATTCAAGATACTTTCTTCACCTCTCATGCTAATATCAGTCAGTTCTTCCCAGCCCTGGCATCAGCAAGTACTGATCTGCTGTCACTAAGGTTAGATTTGTCTTTCTAGAGCCTTTTGTAAATGGGATCAAGCAGTATTTACTCTCTTTTGTGTCTGGTTTCTTTCATTCAGCACACTGTTTATGACACTTCTGTGTTCTTTTTTTAATCAATAGTTTGTTTCATTTTGTTTTTAAGTAGTATTCCATAATGTAATATATGGATATTCCACAATTTATTTAGCCTTTCATGAGTAATGGATCATAAGAGTTGCTTGCAGTTTGATTCTATGGTGAATAAACCAGCTGTGGATATTTGTATGCACAGGGAGTAATATTTTTTTAATTCCCTTGCAGCCATTGGCAGTTCTGTCCCCAGCCCTGGTTCTAAAACTCCTATGACTTCTGCTACCTAGTGCTACCCTTTGTCTTCGTGTCTGTAAATACAGGCTAGTTAAAGCTGACTCTATGCTGAACAAAACTATCACCCTTAGCCCTGCTGCTGCTTCTATTCCACTTTCTAAACCTAATCATTAAAAAAAAAAAAAAAAAAAAAAAAAAGACTAGAATGATAGTGCAACACAGTTAGTTGTCCTGGGCACAGAAGCATAGAGAATTAAATAGTTCAGGCTATCAAACTAGTTTTTCATTTTATGAGAGGTAGCAGGAAAAGAATTCTAGATGAGCTTTTTATCACTATTAAGTATCTAGGTACATCAGCTTCACTAAGATTCATTTTTTTCCCAGCTGGAAAATGAATAAACCACTGAAGAATATGATAATTAAAGTTCATTATTCAACATATATTTGTTGAGAACTGTGTCCTAGTCTCTGGGGATAAAGCAGTGACTAAAACAGCAAAAGGGCCTGACTTCATGGAGCTTATTTATATTCTAGATTAGGGTGATGATAGAAACCAAAATCAAAATATATTTTAGATTAGATGGTGATAAGTATTATGGAGAAAAATAGAGCAGGGAAGAGACAAAAGGCTATAACCCCTTCTTGGCTGAGAGTTGCTTGAAACTAGAGATTGATCTTTCTCCTTATCTCTTGTGTTATCTCAGTGTCAGCTGCACTTTTAGTTCTGCGCCAGTGTCTCCAGAATGGAAGGAATGACTGACTGAAAACTGGTGTTGAGAAGTTTATCTCATGAAATCACTGTGATACTGCTTACCTGGACACTTTTACTTGCTTCCAGACAGGTAATATTTATGTCAGCAGGAATGGTGCCCTCCCATTATCCTTGTTCTTGCTGGATTTTTAAGTGTCCTATTCTTACCTTTTCTTGGAACTCAGAATTCTTTTACTATACCTTCTAAATTATGATATATTTTTGTTTTCTAAAGGTACATGCATTTTCAAGCCCTTGCTGAATGAGTAATGCAGAAAACAATTTGATAACGGATTTGTCAGTTTTTATAAGGAATTTTGAGATTCTACAGTGTCAGGAAAACTGGCATGCATATGCTACAGATAATTAAAGTCATGCTTCAGAACAGTATTCAGTGTCAAGGGACAATATGCTTAATACATAGTTAAATGGGGTAAAATAAAACAGTACGCAGGTCCATCTTATACATATAAAATTTAGCAGGCCTTCCAGATAATTGTGATGTTTCTTGTGTTTTCAGCGTATTTTACATCAAGGTCATATTATTGTATTAATCATTCCCATACTCCTATTAATTTTAAAGTATAAGTTCAATATAAAAGAGTAGAAAAATTTACCAACATGATGGCTTCATAGAGTGAAATATTTAAGGTCTATACAATGTGACAGAATGAAGAACTGGTTAGAAAATAAAAGAACTAAACTGGAGTATTGGAAACAACCTCCTAGGGTGTATGATGAACAAAGTAGATAATGTATGCCAAAAATACTCTGACTTGCTTGTATAATTGTAAAGCTTAATACTGGTGTCATTATAAATGTCTCACGAGCAGGGACTTGGTTTACTGCTGTAGCTTCATTACTCATCACAAAACGTGTTCAATAAACATGAAAAGTATAAAAATATTTTGTTTTGGTAATGAGTATTTTATAGGAGAACACATATTACCATCAAATATTTTTTTTCTCTACATTTCCCTCAAGTTATAATCTGAATACCTGTCATTCAAGGCTTAACAAATCCAGTTGGCAATATTCTTTTCTACCCCAATAACAAGACACACTACCTCCTCTCAAGCCTCTCAAGGATAGTACCTCCTGAACTATAGATGCCATCCTCTCTTTCCTTCCTGAAATCTTTAAAATGCTGGCTGAAATCTAAAATCTTTCTTTGAAGTATATAAACACGTGTATTTGACTTAGACTGTTATTTTAAAAAACTTTTTAATACCTTTCTCATTTTTGTGTTTCTGTCCTTAAGACCTAAGGCACCCTTAAGATACATACATGCTAAGTATCCAGGAAACAGTTCTTGATTTGTTTTCACAACATTCCATTAGTTCACAATTTTTAATGCAATGAAGGTAAATCAACTTTCTAAAACTCCTTTCCCTCATATTGAGGTGCAATTACTATTTTGAGTCACTTTTTAAAAACTATTCTTTTCATTAAATGCAGTTTGTCAAAGACAGTTATTCCAATAATGTCAGTCTACGGGGAATAGAGGGAACAAGGAGTCGTTTTTCCAATTCCAGTATTGCCTTAGGGATTATGTTTTGTTGTGACTGCATTCCCCGAATCTCCTCCAAACCCCCTCCCCCGTGATCTTATCCAATTAGTAAAGTGGAAATACTGGCAACTGGCATTCTGGATCTAAAATCCTGCTGTCCTTCACTCCCTAAATCATTCTGGTGAAAATTAGGTGCTTAGGAAAGCTTGTAATCCACCACGTAAGGACCTGTTCAGAGTTTAGTTTAAAAGTTGAGCGTGGAGCTGGGAGACTACCGGGTGGAGCTCAGCGGTGGCTGCGGAGCGGGACAGGGACAGGACTCGGGGTTTTCTGCGCCCCGCGCCCGAAACCCCGCTGTTACTGTGACCGCTTCGTCGCTGCTCTTTGCAGAGACATAAAAACGCCTGCTCTGGCGAATCCTGATTGTTTCTTTTTTTAAAATCATAAACCGACCCAGCTAGATCCAAGGCTCATCTGTCACCCATTTCAGGGCCCCTCTGAGGTCGTAGACAATTAGGAGTTCAGATCTGAGCGCAGGACCCGAACGCAACGAGAGGCGCAGGCTGTGAGGAGACCCAGGGAAAACTTGAGCCCTAGCGAGGCGGGACGCGAGGCAGGACAGCTGCGCAGAGGCGGGAAGTCGGCGGCCTAATTTTCCTTTTTTATTTTTTCGGGTTGGCAAGGGGAAGGCGGAGCAGGAAGCGGGAGTGCCGGGCACTGAGCTCGAGGCCGCCCAGACGCCTCTGCCAGGGTTCGGGCGTCGCGCCCCGGCTACTTCTAGAAAGCTGGGGCCGCGGTGCAAGCCCCGCCCCCGCAGGGGCTTCCCCGCCGCCCGCTCATTTGCATGGCGCGGCCCCTCCCCCACGGCCATTGGCTGGCGCCGGCTCCACCCCCTCCCAGCCGCGCCAGGGTTCAGTCCCCGAACGGTCCGGAGCTTCGGACAGCGGGCGGACTGTTAAACCGCGGCGGCCGGGGCAGAAGCGAGGCGCACCGTGAGAAGAGGAGGCGGCGACCCGGGCGGGAGGCGGGCGGGAGGCGGGCGGGCGGCAGCTAGAGACCGTCTCAGCAGCCCCGCCACAGCCGGACCGACGGTGGGGCGCGGCGGGGAGCCAGAGCGCCCCAGCAGGCGAGTTGCCGGCGGCGGCTCCGCGGCGGGATGACGGGGGTGGGTCTCGGCTGGGGCTGGGGCAGCGCGGGGAGGGAGAGCGAAGACCGCCGGGGGCATTCGCGTGCCCTGGCAGGCCCCTCGTCCCCTGAGTCCCCTGGGCCGTTGGACTCTGGGCTCCGGCACTGGATCGTGGTCTAGGGTAGCGGCCGGACCTCAACCAAATTTAAACGGCTAAATCCAACAGCCTTGGCAGGAGTGCGGAGGAGGGAGGGCGGGAGGGCGGATGAGGGGGAGGGCGGGGCGAGGGCGGGCCTAGCTACAGTCACGTGGGCGGGGGTGGGGCTTGGCTCGCTTTCCTTTTGTTTTCCCTGGCGCGTGCGCAGAAGCGGCACACGACACACGTGGTCTCCGGGGCCAGCCCGTGGGTTCCGCGGCCGCGACTCTTTTCGGGCGGGCGTGGTGAGCGCTGTTTTCTGGCTGCGCCGAGGCGGCGCCTGCTGTTAGGCGCAAACCTTATTTTATTTCGGGCGGACATTGATTTGACCTTTAAATTTAGTTGGGGTTGAGGGGAACCTACAGGATTTTTGAGGAATAGTACCTTGAAGTTTGTTTTTGGATGTTCTGAAGCTAGGGGCCGGTCCTGCTGGAAACATTTAGAGTTGTTTGTTTGGTAGCGAAGACTAGAAAGCTGCATGTTTTGATCATTTCAGAAATCCCAGGAAAGGATGAGGCTGCTTTACAGCTAAGAGCAGGCATTCTGTTTCTTCCCCTGCCCGGTCTACCCTCCGATCAGGAGTTGGAGAGATTTCTTTGCTCTCTTAGGGTGGGAAGCACTTGATGGCTTTGATCCCCCTAAATTTAAGAACAGTCATGTGTTGGAGAGATTAAGGAAACTAGCTTCCTTCATCTTTCCTTAACCGGTTTACTTCTTGCTGAGTTGAGTCAGTAGAGAAAAATTGTTTAATACTCCCTGGTTGAAGCAGGTTCGCAACAAAACCTGAGTGAAATATATCTGTGAATGCTACAGGCAAAATAGCCAGTGTCCTTAACTAGGAAACAGTGGCTCTAACAGTTCAATATTGGAGAAAACCCTGATGTTAAGGAACTCAGATTGCTTGAGAAAGGTTTCTCCTTGAGTGGTTCCTGCCTCTTGTGGTTCTTAACAAGCCCTTTGATTGGGCAAGTCACAACCTCTCATCTCAGATCCGTTTCCTCCTATAAATCATTTCATAATACGATGCCTATCTTAAGAGACTGTTATGACGAGCAAATGCCTTGTGTTAGTAAAAGTCATTATAATCTTTACCAATACTGCAAATACAGAAAGTGCCAAGTAATACAGTGGCATTACAAAAGTCGTTTTTAAAAAGCTGGTGGACTACAAACAATGCCTAAATTATGGGATAGGATATATGTGACTTTCTCAAAATCTAGTGTAACTGCTGTCTAATTCTTACTCCGTTTTCACTTAGAGCAGTGTCAAAGTCTGCTACTATTTTTTATGTCTTGAATCTACATAGATTATCATTACTTTCTCTAGTCTTTCTAGAATAATTTTTATGATGTGAAACTCTTTAATCCAAGGCAATTCTATCACATTGATTTTTATATTTTAATTTTGCTTCATGATATGTGCTTTTTTCAAATAAAAATTGCTTATCTTGTTAAATCTTACTACAAAATAATTTGGAAGGTAGAGAAAAATACAAATAAAAACAAAAACTGTTTATATTCTTCTCTATTTTCCCATGTGTGTATTTTTCCTAAAGCAGATCATACAAGATCTTCATTTAATTTTTACTAAGAAAATATTCCATTTTATTAAGTATCTTGAAAAAAATATTTTAATAGTTGCTTAACATTTCATCATGAAAGTATCATATTTTAAGTTTTTCTATTGGCAGATGTTTGGGATGTTTCTATTTACTAGTGTAAATTTTATGTAGGCAATGGCCTTTTATATAAATCTTTGAAATTCCCTTCTGCTTCACTAGTTTTGTAGTTTTTGTGGTTTTCTTTTTCCCCTTCTGGGTCAGAGTCTCTTTTATTTGTTGTTTTTAAGGCTTTTGTAACATCACCAATTTACTTCTCAGAATGTTGTATAATCATATAACGCTCATATAGTAATATGAACATGCCTTCTGTTTGTTCATCATGTAGTATTACCTTTAAAAGGAAAAACCTTACTGTCTTCATTAAATTTTTTTTCACTTGTATCTATGGGATATATCTTATTTCCTAATTATTGAAAGGCACTTGAGAGGAAAATGCTTCATAAAGGACATACTGCAAATTGCATAGTGGGTACACAAATAATTCCCAATTAGCTATTGATATTTACCTTTTATAATCTATGAAAGATTAGAAATTGTGTCTCACTTTTTGCCTTACTCAGTTTAGGACTACATTGTTAACAATAGATACTGTTGTTTGATTTCCTTGCATACTTGTTCCTTCAGGTGGGGGTCTCACTGATGTCATCATAGTTGTCTATTAAAAGATCCAACCTCCCGTTGTCTAACTGCTGAATTCAAATGCTTCATGCAGTTTTGCTGCCATTTATCATAACTTAAGACTTTCACATTCTTTACTCATTCATCAGTCTTCCGTGTTGTTAAAAATTTCACTCTGATCATTCCAATTTCATTTGTAGCCTTCTCTAACAAAAAAGATTCCTGGTTTCTAAAGTTCCTTGTTTTATTATTCAGATTGTTCTTGACAGCCCACCTGTTATTGCCTGTAGCATAGGTCTATCACATGAACCTCATGTAATATGCAGTTCTTGTCTTTATGTCTTTCATGTATTCATTCAGTTGTCTCTTGTTATGTCCTTTTAAATTTGTCCATATTGTATCAGATGTTAGTTGAAAGAGGCAGAAAACTGTTTACTTCAGATTTAGAGTTGCTTTGTAAACTGCAAGAAATGGGATTGGTTTGCGACACAGGTAACTGTGGAATTAACCATTTTACTGACGTTAAAGCATATTATTTCTTTTACTGTCCCTACTGCCTTACGGTATTGTAATAGAACACATAATAAGGACCCTGTGTAAAAAATACAATATCTAGTCTTACTTTCAGTGTGTTAGATTTGGAAAGGCAAAGAAGCTATATTATTTCCAAAAAATTTCTTTTTTTTTTTCCTTTTAAATGTTGTCCTGAATAGATATTTCTCTAAATTGTGATCTTTACTCCCTAATCCTGTAGGGTAAACACTCAACAAGTGTTAATAGTATACTTGCTAGTACAGAGTCTACTGTGAAA